AAAGTTCAAAAAGGAAAAAACTAATGAAGCCTTTTGAGAAACAAGCAAGTAAAGTCAAGTATTAAATTAAACTTTTTTTAAAAAAAATTAAAAATTTTTAAAAAATTATTTTTTATAAAAAATAATCTAGAAACCAATGTATTTTAGAAACCCTTGTCTACAGAAACCTCCCTGACACGAATATGCATATAAATAAAAATATGTTTGGATATTTATTGCCTGTTCTGCCCTGGAACGTATCTGCAATGTAAAATAGAACTGGGTTTACATTTAGGCTTTTTATTTATGTATTTGTTGTTCACCTCCACTGAGGACTTACATGTTTTTTCACCACCTTATAAGTGTTTTAAATGAAACTGAATTATTTCCCTCTTTGGAAAATTCTGTTCTTTCGGTAGGCATTTTTATAATTAGCTGGTTTATATGGGGGGGAAGGATTGTAATGTTCTTCGAAGGTTTGGGGATAACTGATCAAACTCTGATGACAGACATTCCTTCCTTGGTTAAAATTTTTTTTTGAAGTAAGAAACGTTAATATTCATTATCAGTATGCTTTTATCAACATTCAACATTAAAATGTTGTTGAATTCATAACTGTAATTTAAAACTGGCATATTATATTCTTTAAAACCATGATGCAGCTATCTTGGGATATCTAGTGTTTAACTAACATTTTTATTTTAAAGTGTTAAAAAAATTCTAACAATTTCTGCTTCTTTTAGAGTTGGTAACCATGCTGCCTCAAAAATCACTTAATTTACAAATCATATAAATATCTCTTTATATAATCATATTGCTTCAAAGTATGGTATCAGCATTTTGATGTCATTTAAAGATTAAGCGAAGTAAAGATTTACATCTTTGGGTGCCAAATATGTTTTAAGTTCATTGATTAAATTAGATCAACTATTTCAAACCTTCCCTTCGAGAATGTAGTTGATATTTTAAGCCAGTCTTTAAAATACAATAAAAAAGCCAATTTTTTAAAGATTTTCCCCATGTGTTTGTTTCTTTCTTAACATAGATACCTATGCACATAGAAAAAGAAAGGCTAGATAACTTCTAGCTGTGTATTTGGGAAGGGTTATTAGTGATATATATTGTGGTTTCCAGATTATATTGGCTTGAATCTGAATAAGGCATGGACGTTTATGACTGTATAATATTTGGGGAATCGAGGTACTTAAAATCCGTTGAGCTGAAAGTCTTCTGAGAAGTTTGTGTTAGGAAAAGAAGAGTATAAGACATCAGATTCCATTCCTGTAGGTAGAATACTGGGAATCAGAATTGAGATTTAGCTATTATGCTTAGCCCTCATACTCTTTGCCTAAATTAAAACAACCCAGACTGTTTGAAAAAGTATGTGGATGATTGTGATTTTATACCTCTTATTTATCTCATATTCATTAGATTCATTAGATTTCTGTGGTTCATTTTCTTCTTGCCTTAAATGTGCATTTTTCTGCTTCACAAATGTTGGATCCAGTATAATACTAAATCCTTCGGTGTATAAATAGATTTTATAATTTTGTTTTTGTAGTGTGCTATTATAGTGATTTTCTGTAAAGTTGTCTTGCCATTTCACTTCCATATGTTATTATGCAGTTTGTTTTTACTTTTATATTGCAGTACATAGCTCTAAATGTATTCTTGAGAATTACCTTTATTAGAGTAGAAATTTTAAAAGTATATTGATGTAATGTTGCTCAGATGTATTTATATCTTATACTTTCCCTTGCTGAGTATGGAAGTGTCAGAATAATTGAAAGGAATCTGTGATAATTATTATATACATCTAGATATTTCATGAACAATATTCTAGGCCATTATGTAGATATTCATTATTAGAGGTAATCTTGATCAGTGTTAACATTTTTAATGGTGACAGTGCAAGCATTCAAGTTTTTAATGCCGTAAGTAATATACAGTGTATTAGGATGAAGAGGTATTTGAAATTAAAGCATACCTGTGCAATATGATTAGGTTTTCTATAGTTGATATGTCAGAACATTTCAATGTGGAAGAAATAATATGATTTGCGCTCAAAGAATGTCTGTTCTAGTGTCATGATATAATGTATCAATTTACAAAGAATCAGCACAGATATTAATTCTGTATTTTCTGCAACAATCTCTGTATCATCTGAATAAGACTATCTTCCTTTCAAGAACTTTTATGGATGTATTATTAATCATCTGTTTTTGCATCACCAACTAGTTGCACTTTGTCAGCCATTTTGCATATTGATGCCTTTTTCAACTGGGATCATGTCTCATCGCAATCACCAACATTGAGCACCATTTTACAGTATTAACAGGCATGCTAATTGCTGTGCATTTTAAAGAGTTGTGCAGTGATATCTAATAATTTTTCTTTTGCAGTCAAAAGGAAAGATTCGATGTAGGTAGATTTGGGGTAATTTTGTAAATGTGCTTCTTCCATTTACAGACTTGCCAACTCTCCCGATTTTCGACCGCTCTCCCGCCAACCCGATTATTTACAATATATTTCTCCCGACTTTTTCTTATTCTTAAAATTTCTCACGATTTTTATGGAACTTTGCTTAATACTTGTTATATGAGAGAAAAAAAAAAAAAAAAAAAGTGATTTTGAACGTCTAAAAGCAATTGAATTTTATCTAGATTATATCTAAAACAAAACCTTGTGAATTAGATGAGAAATTTTTCTGCTATTGTGAGTGAGAGCATATACGTATCCAGAAACGTCCTTCTCCAGTTTCTCCAATGGGCATCGTGCTCCACTGCGTGTCATCTGGCATATATCAGCCAATGAGGACAAAGCAAGCTCAAGCTGTTATTTGGATGTTCTTTAGATATTTCGGTCATTTTGTCCTGAGTTGTGTGAGTACACGTGCCTTCGGGAAATAGTTCTAGAAATTATCATCTTTTATTATGTCTGCGAGAAAGGTAAAATACTCGTGTACGTTTCAAAAATCGTACACAGTTGACTTTCCTTCCATTATTTCCTCAAGGAAATGTAATAAATTTGCGATGTGTACCGCCTGTCGTTGCGATTTTTCAATTTCGCATGGTGGAAGGGCGGATGTTCTCAAAAAAAAAAAAAAAAAAAAAAAAAAAAAAGAAAAGAAAATTTTTTTTTCTTCGGAAACAAAGGATCAAAAAGTTATTAATGCAGAATGTCTGTTCTCTGCCTTTTTACTGGAGCACAACCTGCCACTGAATGCATCGGATCACGCTGCAGCTTTATTTAGAGAAATTGTTTCTCTGATAGTGAAATCGCTAAGAAATACTCAAGTGCAAGAACCAAAAGAGGTGCAATTGTTAAAAAAAAGAAATGGGATTTGAAAAATAAATCTTCAGTTATTTGATTGCATTAAAACCAGCTCCGTTTTGCCTCTCTACGGATGGAAGCAATAATACCGAATTCAAAACTGTATCCAATTGTTGCTTGTTTTTTTTATCCAGAATCTTCAGAAATTGAGTGCAGCTTACTTTCTGTCGCCCCACAGAAAGGACATTCGGACAGGCTTTAAATATAGTACAGCTAATTATTAAAACTTTAAAATAAAATGCAGTCCCTCTGGATAATTACTTAGGCACTTTGTGTCGATAAATGTACCAGTAATTGGTAGGCTTTTGAAGACTGGTGTTGCAGGCATCTTAAGAAAAAAAAAATTCAGATTTGCAGATTATGAAGTGCACCTGTCACCCTCTTAAATTTAGCAGCTGAAAAAGGAGTTGCTTCTTTACCAATAAATGTGGATGAACACATTGTTGATATTTATTATTATCTTGAAAGGAGTTCTAAAAAGGAGGAAAAATTGAAACAGGTCCAAAAGCTGCATAACAGCAGTTTACAATTAGAAAACTTGGATGAAGTTATAAAATCAGCTAGGATTGACACCCAGTGGAGTTTAATTGGAAAACTGAAAGATGCTGATGGAATTGAGTGAACTGTCTAGAATTATGTTGGCCATCTTGACAGTTCCCCATAGTATTGCAGAGTGTGAGAGGATTTTCAGTGTTGTTGCGAAAACGAGGACTAAATTTAGATCTAATATTAGTGATGACACATTAGAAAACTATTATTAGTGAAAGCAGGCCTACGTGGCAATTGCTATGAACAAAATTATTAAGTTTCTTTCTTAAAGAAAGCAAAATCTGCCACTGTTTATACCATTTGTACGAAAACTGATTAAAGGTGTTTTTTTTTTTTTTTAAACGATGCAAGTAATAAAAATGTTTTTTATGTGTAAGGTATTTTTCTGTTGCTTGCATTTAAGAATTAGTTACTATTTAAAGTTAATTCATTATTAAAAACTATATTTTCCTCATTTAAAAAGTCTTTTTAACATTGTGAAAAATCTCCCGATTTCTTAAAAAAATCTCCTGATTTTTGAGTGTCATAGGTTGGCAAGTATGCATTTAATATTCCATAATTTGTGCTCGAATACCTTGCTAATTTCATATATATACAGCATTTACACATCTTTAAAATCATACATGTGTACCCCCTTGCCCCCGTTCCCCTGTTCAAAAAACAGATGCCCAGATGATGAGGGAGAAAATGCTGACCTGTATTCTCAAATCTTTAATTAGATTATTTTTATACTAATAGACATTTTTGATAAAATGTATATAGTAATAATTTCATGTAATCCCACTATTACCTTTTTTCTTTAAAAAATATTCAGGATATAGTTCTTTTCATTATGCTGTGTGATTTTTTAAAAATCTTTTTGCTTTAAAAAATGGGTATGCTTTATAAATCTGAATTACCCAATATCCCTTTAGGCTGTATTAAGTAAATAACTTTTAAAATTAATTAATTAAAAAAGTCTAAGAGCATAAATTTAAGAAGAAAACACTGAAAGGTTTTTTTTCTTCCTTCTAACTTTACCATGTATGTATGTGGTCACTTTTATGTGCCTTAATTTTTTGGGATTGTAAATTGTATTTTAAATATTTCATGTCTGTCCCCATGCCTTGAGTATATAGTGTCATTTACATTTCTTACAGGGAGATAGGTGTTTGGATAATGAGACCAGTTTGTGTAAGGTATAGATCAGCTTTCATTAATAAACTTATGTAATTGTTATTCACTTGAGAGACAACTTTATGTAGTGCTTGTGCCTGTATGTGTGTTAATATTGCTTTGCATGATTATAATGGTGTGTTTATTGGTAATACACAATATTTAACTTTTTGATAATTGAAACATGAAATTTTTGGGGAGGGAGGAAAACTTTACTTAATTGGCAGTATGTTTACTATTCTTTCAATGCAGAAATTGGATAGAAATTATAAAGTACATTTAGCAAGTATCTTCTCTCTGTACAAGAATTTCTTCAAGTAAAGTAGGTGCTTGGTGAAATTTCATCCTTTCCTTGCACTTTAATTTTTTCTAAATATATGTTGATAATATGCTTGTATATTTAAAGAAAAGGAAGATTTTTGTTATAAATGTTAAATTCCTCTCTATTTTTTTGAAAGTCGGTGCAGTCAAATACCGAAAATCCGCCAACTTCTGAAATCCGCGTAGCCTCTCAAAATATAAACATTCAGTTTATAGGTTCTGGAAACTGCAACATTGAGTATGAAATATCGAAGAAAAAGTACTTACTGAATAATGACGTCATAATTACCGAATAATAATGAGTCATAACGGAAATACCAAATTATTGACATTATGATAAAAGTTTTTCCTTCTCTAATCTGCATTGAGGTAAGAAAGCAGACGATTCACTCAACTCTCTTTCAGTTCACGATGCATGTTGTATTTTTTGAGCTTTGTTATTTAACGAGATTATTTAGTGCTGCCTTTTATTTATCCGGATATTTTGTGGATAAAATAAGAATATTTTAAATTTAAGCCCTTTTTATAATGCAATTACACATAAGAAACACACTTATGATTTTACTGCTTGCAGGGTTGAAAAACGTAAACACGTTGCATTGATGGTAATGCAAAAAGTGCAAATCCTGCAAAAGGTGAAGACAGGTGCATTTTATAGTAGAGTCAGTTTATAGCAGAATCGTATGGGATTGCGATACGATTGTGTATGATATACAGAAAAATAAAGAAAAGCTGTTGAAATTTTACAGCAACAGTGATTCTAACACCGAAATCCGAAACCGGAAATCTGTGCATGAGGCAAAATTGGCAAACCTCGATGCTGTGTATTTATAATACAATGAATAACATAATCAATTTATATATGTAATAATAATTTAACGCATATAATAAGTTATTGCAATAATGTATATAATAATTTAATTAAATGTATCTAATACGCCTTATTTATTTTGCACTTTTAGTCTGAATATTATAATTTATCTTTTCTGTCCTGAAATCCGCATAACCTCTGGTCCCAAGCTTTGCAGATTTCTGAACTTCTACTGTATTAGGATAACACAGTTAAAGAATTGCTTTCCCTTTGATATCTTTCTACGATTTATGTGCAATTGATTATTCAAACTTGGTGCTAATGTGTGAAATATATGTCAAGATGACATAATTTCACAAATGCAATTCTAAGCAATGTAAAATGAATAATCAGAGTAAATTGTCTTTTTAAAAATTATTCTAAATAAACTGAAACTTAAAAATATTTTCTAAATTGTAATAACTGTAAATAATTTGACCATTCAGAAAGGTACCTCTTTTTGCTCCTTAAGTGGCAACTTTATATTTTGGAAAAATGAATACAGTATCCATTTTCTTTCATATTTAAAAATATTTAATGGCATATACACTGACGAGCCAAAACATTATGACCATCCCCACATTTACAATGAACTTGTTTGAATAATGTAGAGGGCACATGATTAAGTGGGAATGGTATATAATTTCTGCTAAAGAAGGTAAGGAATCTTTCTTGCACTTATATATGTTTGTGATGGGAGAGGCTGTTCATTTACACAAATTTGATAGAGGGCAGATCATAATGGCTCGAAGACTTGAAACAAGCATCTCTGAAACTGCATGACTGGTAGGTTTTTCATGATCTGCCATTGTTAGTGTTTATGTAAAATGGATAAATCATGGTGAAACCAGCAGTAGATGCCAAGGTGTTATACATCCACACATCATCAAAGAAAAAGGATGCCAGAGACTGTCCCTCTTGTTATAGCAAAATCAGTGCCAGACAGTGGCTTGGCTGACAGCCTAATACAATGTAGGTCCAAGTTCAATTGTTCGTAGTTCTTAGTTCAGCAAGCACTGTCGGAAATGGAACTGTGGAGCAGATGTCCCACTCATGTGTTTCTATTGACCAAGCATCATTCTCACTTATGCCTACTGTTAGCTCAGAAATATTGAGACTGGACCATGCATAAGTGGAAGACAGTTGCCTGGTCAGATGAATCACAATTTCTCATTCATCATGTTGACGCTCGTGTCAAGGTACACCGTCTCCCAGTTGAACAGTTTGCTTCTTTCCTCTTTACAGCAAATCATACACAGGCTGGTGGTTGTGGTATTATGCTTTGAGAGATGTTCTCGTGGGTGCCTTTTTTATTTTAATAGTTGTGGTAGAACAGACCGTGAAAGCTGTGTACTATCTTAGTGTTATTGCAGATCACTTTGCACCCTTACATGGTGGCTGTCATCTTAACTGGAAATGGTATCTTCCTGCAGGACAAAGCCTTGTGTCACAAGGCTTGAATAGTGTTGGAGTGGTTTGAAGAGCATAGATATGACTTCAGTTGATGTCCCGCCCACCTACCTATCTTGCCGAATCTTAACCCGATAGAGCACATTTCAGATGGCAGGTCAGAGCTCAGACACCACCATGTCGGAATATCTTGACTTTGTGTTATTGCTGCTTAGATATTTGGTACAACCTGTCTCCATTCATCTACCAAGAACTTGTGGCATCCATGCCAAGGCAAGTTAAAACTGTTTTGCAGGCCAGAGGTTGTGCAGTGCGTTATTGAGTAGGTGGTCATAACATTTTGACTCTTCTGTGTATATTTCAACTTTAGTATTATGTGCTGACATTTTAAAATGTTGTGTAGATTGCACTGGTTAACAGTTATTCCTTAAATGCTGATTACAAAAATGTAATTTATGCCGATTTTAAAAATGGGCATTTCATATGGTATCTTGTTGACCATGAAGGCTGGCTTCACGAACCATTACATTTGACAGAGATCCTGCCAGAGTTGCTTATGAGGTTCTGAAGGAGTTGATACGTCTTTTCTTAATAAGCATTCAAATCAATATCAACTTGCTTTGTTTTTATGCTTTGTTAAAAAGGTTTTCGTCAGTTTCTACTATTTTTTAGGCCTTCCAATTTTACCTGAAGCTTTGTTTAGAATGCTGTGTATACAAACTTCCCACAGTGACCGTTTCCATCGATAACTGTTTTATCAGCCATATTCCACTAATCATATGTTTATTAATACATATCTTCTTTTGTGATAGGATCCTATAACTTGGGGGGGGGGAATCCGCTGCTTGTTGATTTGTAGAAGTCGGGTTCAAAATTTTAATCATTTTTCCCCTTCCCGAAGGGCAAGTGAAAAACACAGTAACTTAATATCTTTGGTCATAAAAAAACATGGCGTATTGATAATCGGTCATTATAATAAACAAAAGCCCACATGTTATGAGTGTGTTATTATGCCATGCTTAGCCATAACTGGTGTAAAATTGGGCTGCTCGGAGACCGTTTCATGGCCGATAGAATAATATATAAATACCTGAGAATTAAATAATTTTTTTTTTTCTGTGGCGCAGTTTTTTTTAAATTGGTCTCCATTGTTGTTGTTTATCTGTTACTAAGATATCTTGGTTGACGGAAAAATTTTATTATCATTTGAGATCAGTAAGAAAATGTAAGAATTATTCATTCCATTTAACAAGCAAAAATTTTGTAGGTCTGTGTTATTTGTACTGAAGTGTAGAGAACCTGGAGTTCCGAATTATTAGTAGTTATCTATTAAGAAGGAGTTGTATGCTTTATATATGCAATTTTCATTCATTATTTGTATCATTTCAATTATTTTGAGTTATATATATACAAGTAACCCGCTTATAACACGGTAGATAGGTTCCTAGAAAATGTTGTGTTGTGTGAAACCATGTTGCACGAGACCCAGGGGCAGTACAAAAAGGGAGGTTACGTTCCGAAAACTTGTTAAAACCAAGTATTTTTTAAAATTCTACATAAATAACTAATATTTTTATTAAAAATAGAAATTTATGTACAACACAAAATAAAAAAATATTTTAATTTAACACAATTTTAATATAATTTCTTTGTCGTAATTGCTCAGTCGGGATGTTATGTTTTTTCAGTGGAATGAGATCTCTTTCACTTTCAGAATATTTTTCTTCATTTAAAGTTCTGGCACCTTCTTCCCCCCCTTTTTTTTAATATAAAGGTTTTACTGGGCATTTTGTTTCCACCACAGCCCAGTTTCGTCGGCATTGAAAATGGCATCTGCTGTGTATCCCTGCTCTTCTATAATATTTTTAATTTTTTCAGGAAACGTCCTAGCAGCTTCAGAATCAGCTGATGCAGATTCTGCTTGAATTCTTATGCAGTGAATAACAAAATGCTTTTTGAAATTTTCGAACCAGCCTTTACTTGCCACAAAATCTGGGTTGACTCCATTATCTTTACCAGGGTTCATAGCGGTCCTTATAAGTGCTTATAAGTCCTTATATTTGAAAATAAAATAAAAGGCCCTTATAGGTGCTTACCTTTTCTTTAAAGCCCTTATTTTTTGCTTTTAGTGCCTTTTTTTTTTCCTTTTAGTGATTTTTTTAATCCTTTTTTTTTTAATGAACGTGCATTTTATCCCTGTACCAAAGCTGAAACTAAATAAACAACTTTTCTTTCTTATAATGCAACGTCAGATGGTGAATCATACTCCCGGAAATTGCTTTTCCCCCCTTTCTCTGCATTAACTTAACCTATGGTGCGCTCGAGAGTACAGACAGGTGCACGTCGTTCAATTGGTCAAAGAATTGCAAAATCGGTAGAAAATTCCAGTACACTCTGTAATCTTTCCCTCCCGCTCCAGACTACTACACATTTGAATTTCTC